GAGCATCCTTCCAGGCATATCAGGACACACGCACCATGGCAACCTGATCTATAAGCTGCAGCGATCAGGCCATCACTACGCGTGGCATAGAACCTTGCCTTTCAGATTTCTTCCTATTCTCATTCTTGGGTGACCCAATTCTCCTTCAAACTTGCTTCTAGGGCTGGAATTAAAACCAATCACGTTCGTTAGGCCTCTCTGGCCACACCTCACTAATACACTTAATTAATTTAATTTAGGCTTAATTAATGTTGTTTAAATTGAGGATGTTACACACGACCCATTCGAACTTCAATCTAGCCCTCTTCTACGGCTGTCCAATGATCTATAAGCTCTATTAGTCTCCTAAAAACATCATTAAGCAAAAATTCATTTAATTTGACTAAAATACCCTTATAAACATTGGAAATTCTCAAAGTTGAAATCCAAGATGTTATATGAAATAGCCCACATTTTCATGTCAGAGGCATAAAGAGGATATAAGGAAGGTGTGATCATGCATATTATGATTAAAAAGGGCACATGATTGTCTGTGTTGTGACCCTTATGATAAAATCATGTGATTAGTTTTGTATTAATATGAAAGTGAGTTATTGTATTACTAATTTCATGAAAACATGTTTTTAAATGCAAAATGCAATTATGTGTCTTGAAAATGCTATGTTGACATGAGTATGATCATAAATTGCCATTTACATCTAATTTGACATGCATTAGTGTAAGTTAGATGTACTTTAGTTATTAAGTAGTTGTACTCAACCTTCTCTCTTTAATATATGAGCTAGCTCATTGAGATAAGACAAGGAAAACAATCATAAGCTTAGGATTTTTATCTTAAAATTGTAGGTCTTGTTTTTATTTTGAATATTATGTGTATAATTCTATTTGATATTTTAAACTAAGAGACATCATATTTTTTCTTACTTGCACTATGTGAATTGGAGTTAAGTTGTGTATTTTGGGCCTTAAATTGTATATGTATTAAATTGTAAAATCTAAAAAGGGCCAAAATACTAATGCAAGTAAGAAGTGAACTAATATGAGATGGATGTTTAATGGCATGATGAGTTATGAAATTAAGGCTTCCCCTTTTGCTTTTACAATTAAGGGTTTGAGTATTAAAAATATGATAGATATGTTATTTGTAAAATGTGGTGCATTGCACAATTAGTTTTAAGGTTACTTAAAGTGTTACAAGCTAACAAAGTGATGGAATTCAAGTTCTAAGACTACTAAATGCACTAGAACTACTATAACAATTAAAGTGTTTTTTGTTTCCCTTATGAGATGATGAAGATCCCTAGGATTTAGATGGTGGAGATGTCCTTGTCAGATTATGAAATTCCATTATTAGTTCCTCTCATCAGCCTAGTGTTAACCTAGGTTCATTTAAACATAATTCTCTTGCTAGTTAACCTCTTCTAGTTCTATTAATTAAATGAACATAGCCTTGGTCACTCTCCGTATTAGTCACAGCCAAGCTTTAATATTTACTTGATTTCTAAATTTGGAATGGTTTTAGTCATATCTAAACTTAGGATCCCATTGAGTCAAGAAGTTTTAATAATATTGTGTTTCAACCTTTTATTTTATACTAGAATTTAATTACTTGGTTTCAAACCTTTTTAACATGGATGAATTTCTACCATAATAAGGACCTTATATATATATATATATATATATATTAAGATTTATTTTAGTAAATTAAATTCTATTAATCATAGAAGATCTTCGAGTTAACTCTTTATAACTTTAGTTAATTTATATTTACCATAGTAAGATTAGTAGGATGGTCATTCCTTAATTATGATGGTAATGTGTAGTGATATGGTTAAGTATTTGCAGTAATTTTGGCAATATTATAGGCTGCACAAGTGTGATATGATTGATCACATTGGAGTGAAGGCAGTAGCTTAAGTGGTTAAAGTTCCATCCTCTTCTAGTCTTGAGCAAATTTGAGACTTTAGCACGAAGAACATTCTCAGCTCTAGGTACAAGAAGTTTTCAACTTTTTGGTGATATTTGTGCATTTTAGAGATAGTTTAGTTAAAATATTTTTTTTTAAAGATAAATGAGCAAATTGGCCCTTAAACTATAGGTTCACAAGCATGTAAGACCCTAAACTCCTCTTTCATGGAATGTTTCCCTCCCATTCTTGAAAATGATATAATCTAACCCCTATCATTAACAAAAGTTAACTTTCACTATTAGTTGATAAAAAAAAGATAGAAAATGACCTTAAAAATTATAAAAAGAACCCAAAAATTACAATAAATGACTCAAAAATTGTCAACAATGACTCACAAAATTACAAAAAAGGACCAAGAAAAATTTTGGTCTTTTTATGTAATTTTTGATTTTTTGTTATCATTTTCTAGTCAACTAATCATTAAAGTTAATTTTTGTTAACAATTGAAATTAACTTGTATTTTTTTGAAAAGTTAAAGGGAAACAATGCATAGAAGATGAGTTTAAGATTCCAGATGCTTCCAGACGTATAGTTTAAAGGTTAATTTACTCATTTATCCTCCTTTTATCATAGTCTTTAAATTCAATTTTAGAATTCTTTAGTGCTTAATCATTATTGTCGGTATTTCTAGATCCTTGGTTGCAATTTTCCTAAATAATAATAATAATAATAATAATAATAATAATAATAATAATAATGGGATGGGATAGACATTGTTTGTAAACTCAACCTGACAAAGTTGACTCGTAAATCGGTGAACTGGTTGCCTAGCCGGTCTAATTGATTGAGGAAATTAGTCACCCATGACCCGACTTCAACTCGGTGAGTTAATAGGTTGACCTAGGTCAGATTTTATTATTTTTATTTTTTTGTTTTTTTTCCTTTCTTCTTCTGAATATTGAACCTTAAATCAAATATAAATTTCTTAATTAATAATTTTAATGCTATTGTGTTTTATTATTGTCAAAAACTTATAATTATTATTTCTATAATATATGTAAGATTTTATGGATAGTTTTTTCTTTTACTCAAGAATTAAGGACTTTTATTTAAATATTATAGCCTTTCATATGAATATTTTTGTATATTTAATCAAATTATATTATTTTAACTGTGATCGGTCTGATTATAGGTTGAACTTTGATTGGACCATTAACTCTCAAATCACTATCTCGATCGGTTTAATAATTGATTCAATTTTTAGTACTTGAGGATATGCATGTGAAAAATTTTAGGGTAAAGAGGCAAATATACCTATAAATTGGTCAGCCAGGGACATCCAGTATTTTAAAGTGAGAAAAATGATAAAAATACCTATAACATTACATGAATAGGTGCAAAAGTGACCAAACTGTTAATTTTGACCTAACATAGTTAACTTTGATAGTTAAATGTTGACTGTGTATGTTACGTGTCAACCTTTGTTGACGTAGACTAATAAATGAGCAAAAATACCAACGAAGTCATCGGCTAGGAGTAAAAATACTCATAACATTATTAGAGTTGGTGTAAAAGTGACTAATCTATCAAATCTCTTAAATGTTGACCGTTTTGTTGACATCTAAGCAGAAGTTAACTACTTTTCACTGATGTAGACCAAAAATATTTTCAAATAAATTTTTATGAATGTTGATCAATCATCATATGAGTATCCATAATTAGCGACCAATCGATCAAAATTCATGCCACATGGTTTTTTTCCATCACCACGTATCTCACCCCCTTTCTTCCTTTCTTTCCACTCATTTTTTTGTCTACAAAACTTGATATTCAACATAGTGAGATATGTTGTACACATTCAAAGATCAAGACTAAGTACACTTCCTACTTCGCGCTATCTTAAAAACATTGTCACAACTTTAAACAATTTCATTTATGATAGGTTCAAAATTTTTAATTGGTTTTTGCCACTGTTACAAAGAAACAAGCAATTTAAGATAATATTCGGTCAAAATGACATTTTTTCACATGATATTCATATAATAACCGATTAACCTCCAGAAAATTTCATGTGGAAATAATTTTTATACATGTCAGTGAAAAATGGTCAACTTCTGTTTAGATATCAGCTAAACGGTCAATATTTAAGGGATTTGATGGATTAGTCATTTTTGCATCAACTCTAGTAACATTATGAATATTTTTGCTCTTGACTAACGACTTTATGGATATTTTTACCCCTTTATTAGTCCACATCAGTAAAAGCTGACACGTGACATGTATAGTCAGTATTTAATGGTCAAAGTTAATAGCGTTAGGTCAAAATTAACAGTTTGGTCACTTTTACACCCGCTCATGTAACGTTATGAGTATTTTTACCATTTTCCTTACTTCAAAATATTGACTGTCCCTAATTGATCACTTTATAAGTATTTTTACCTCTTTATCCGAAATTTTATTTAAATGCTAAAAATAGATTAATATGAACTGCGTGGATGTGAGTTGTGAAGTGTGAACACATCCCTGATAGCAGTCCAAGTAATGTTTTTAAAACTAGACCAGACTAGCCGGTCGGACCGGTCCGACCGTCGAGCGGTTTGGTTCAAAGGGAAAAGCCGTTTTAGGGGTTGAGTCGGGTTGAGCCGTTGCAAACCGGTGGTCGTATCGGGAACTAAAATCAAGCCAAGAACCGAATCTGATTTTCAAAAACCGAACTGTTCAAAAAAACTTTTTTTATTTTTTATCAAATTTTTTTAAAAAATGACTAATTTTTTTAATCATTTGATATTATGTTGTATCATGTGGCTTGTTAAGCCATGATAAACTTAAAATATTTGATTTTTTTAAGTTAAATAGCAATTCTATATATATTTTTTATATTTAAATTATTATATATATATATATAATTTTTTTAATTTAATTATTACATCACTAGTTGGATCAGTAGTCCAATTCGATTGAACTATGTGAACTATAAATCGCTGATTTTTTTGATTTAGTGTTCGGTTTGGTTCTGCAAACATTAGTCCAAGTGATCCTTCTTGTTTCAATTTCAACGTTCCATTAATCAAAAGATTTGATTTAATGGCCTGCTATAAATAAACGGTTTCGACTCTGACTGTCACCTGCTGGCTTATCTCCGTCGCTTCCCCTCTCTTCGCTTCGTTCCGATACTTATCTGCATCTCTCTCTTCCTTCTTCGCACATGGCTGAACAAAGTTCCAAATCCGTTTACGACTTCACTGTCAAGGTTATATTTCTTTTTCTCTTCCGTTCTCCTTCTTCCCTTTACCGTGGGTTTGCTTTAGTGTTTTGTTTCTCTCTTTTAGTGAATCGATGAATTGATAGAGAACATTCATAGGTGGGAGTAGGACTAGCTCGTAGACGTAGGAAACTAAAACTTAATTAGATAGTACGCTATTGTATCCTGTGTGTGTGTGTGTGTGTTTTTTTTTTCCCTCTGCGTGTTAATTATTTATCGTCCTCGTTCTCTATATACAGCTTCCGCTGAGTCTAGCACTGCGGATTTCACATTCTTATTTATCTTTTACTTTTCATAGCATGATTTGGATCCAGGGCTTGCTCGTTTATAATTGGTTTGCTTATGCTTCACTCCAGATCAATATATTATGACCAATACCATCTTAATCTCGCCTCATAATTAAAGGTTGAGTAATAGGTAATGATACAAGCCATATGTAATGAATCCCACCTTCGCCCTGAAGTTGTATGGCCTGTTATTGGAGCCAATTTGCTTAACCCTAGTTGTTAAACAATTCTAGTTTGACCAACGAAAAGTCATTTTTAAATGGAAAAACTTAGATGCAGACCTACAGTATTTTGGTGTTAAAATGACAAATGTATATTTTCTTGCAAGTTAGCATCACATCATATGTTTCTTCTAAAGGATGTGGCATAGCACCACATGATTTTGTACTGATTTTGCAAGTTAGCACCGTATGATATAGTTAACTTAATGCTCTCTAAATTCCACAAACGCAGGTTTACTTAATTGTTGTATTGACATTATTGTTTCTGCATAATGTGCTATTGCAGGATATCCGTGGCAATGATGTGAACCTGAGTCAGTATAGTGGAAAGGTTCTACTAATTGTGAATGTTGCCTCGCAGTGGTAATTTGATTTATATGGATTGCTTGTTTATTATCTAAACTATATAAATCTGATCTTCCTCTCTTTTTTTTTCTTTTGTTTTTTTTTAAACTCTGGTGTGTGCCCACCTTTTAGTCTTATTTATGGACTCTGCCTGTGTTGCATCGCTTGTTTTTCCCCTCTTGCATATGAAGTAAGAAATCATTTGTCTTTCAATCAAACAGTTGTCGGATTTATGGCTCACTTTTTTGGTCATCAACTTTCCCTGTTGATAGGCTTTGTAAAATCAACACATGAAATTTACATTAAAAGTTCTTCATTGATATTTTTGTTCTGATAATTGTCTCAAGAATTTTTAAATTTTCGAGTTAGTATTATGAATTTATCATTAACATATATATACCTGATTATTTCTTATTATGTTTGATGTTGAGAAAATAGTATTCGCCTGTTGAGTAGAAGCCTTCTTGGTTTATTGAAAATCATGAAACAAGAAAGATCTTTCATGGAAGATTTTACCAAATTACCCTTTATATTTTCAGTGAACCTTGTCATAGAATAGTTTCCCAATTAGAAACACGGAGCTTCATTCGTAACCTTTTGAAGATAGGACTTTGCCTGGTGCGTTTAGAGTGAATGTTGGCCTAATGAAGTTGGAAAAGCCACAGGGTACAACTCTAAACAGGCAATTAACTTCTTACAAATTAGAAACAATGGACGGAGAAACCCCTACAAGCATTTGCATTGTAAAAAGAAACCTTTGATTCGGCCACAAGTGAAGGCTTCTATAATTGTATTAATTGTGTTAATAGGAATGCTGTTTGTCACGATTCTCTAACAATTTTTTTATTTTTGATAATGCTTATTTGACATTGTTTCTGTATTGCTGCAGTGGTCTGACACAAACAAATTACAAGGAATTGAATGTATTGTATGAGAAATATAAGAACCAAGGTCTGTCATTTAATAAAAGAAAAAAAAAATCTCTACTGCATACCCCAAAAAAGAAAAAATCTCTAATGTTTTGTCTTCTCAGTGAGCTTTAAAAATTTGACACCAGAACTTGTGAGTTCCGCAGGTTTTGAAATATTGGCATTTCCATGTAATCAGTTTCTTGGACAAGAACCAGGAACCAATGAAGAAATTCAGGAAGTTGTTTGCGCAAGGTTTAAAGCTGAATTTCCCATCTTTGATAAGGTAAATCTTTTAATACCTATTGAGGAAAAAATGGTAGAAAATCGGTTGAGATGGTTTGGGCATGTACAAAGAAAACCAAGGGAGGTACCAGTGAGAAGAGTGGAACATATAACTTTGAGTCCGATTAAGAGAGGTAGAGGAAGGCCTAAGAGAACACTCTTGGAAGTTGTTGAACGCGATTTCTTAATTAATAATATTCCTAAAAGCTTGATAAATGATAGAGCACAATGGCATCTTACAATCCATGTAGTCGACCCCACCTAGTGGGATAAAGGCTTGTTGTTGTTGTTGTTGTTGTATACTTGTAGTTGAGGAAAATGATTCTAACATGCAGCATGGACTTCTAAAAATGGAGTTCAGTTTATAGTTCTAGGAATCCTCATATTAGACACAGCATGACATATCAAATTATATTCGGAGATTTCAGGCCCCCCCGGAATGTTCAAGTTAAATGAAATGAATGTTCTCTATTTTTTCAAAAATTATACTTCGCACTCTGGAATAAGAGGATATATATTACACTGACCTGCTCTATGACAAAACATAAATTACGGTTACATGTCATTATATCTATTATCTATGTGAAATTAGCATATACTCTGTCATATCCAAATTGTAAGACAATTTGCAACCATATTTCACATACTGATAAAAGTAATTATTTCCTTACTTCCATAAAAAAATGATATATCTTTTGCATTTCGCCCTTAACCCATTTTATTATGAAGTGTGAGAAGAAGTATTTAATTAGATTATATTTCCCATGCCCACATTAATTAATAAAAGGGTAAATTTGAAAAGTAATTTTGAAAAGTACCAAGTGTCCTACATTTTGACCAAGATTGGCCGAGAAAAATGTCTTATAATTTGAACCAAAGGGAATATTAAACATGTATACAGGCATCTTGTAAGGAAGGAGAGAATTATATGCCCTGAATTTAAATTTTTCAGGTTGAAGTGAACGGGAAGAATGCAGCACCACTTTACCAGTTTTTGAAAGCTCAGAAAGGTGGACTATTTGGAGATGGGATCAAGTGGAACTTCACGAAATTCTTAGTAAATAAAGAAGGGAACGTTGTGGAGAGATATGCTCCTACCACCTCGCCCCTGAAAATTGAGGTAAGGGAAATTTTGGCAGCTTTATTCTGATGAAGATATCAGGGTTGTACATGTATCATGTTTCATCTTAATTAATATGCTATATATAAATGCTACTTCTTGCAGAACGACATTGAAAAACTCTTTCAGTCGACTTGAGCTTGAGATTTGATTTTATGCTATATCCCATTTGTAAGAGCCAAGAGGTTAGTATTCTAGTCGGATTGTTGATGATCTTATAATAATTATTATTATTATTATTTTAAATTTTTTTTTTCACTGTTCAAGTTTTTGCAAGTCAAAGTAGTTCACTTTACAGCCAGAAGTGTTGCGGGCTGGTTGGCTGGTTGAGTATCCATGTACACTAGTCTGCATCAACTTATATTCCTTTCCATGCGGCTTTTTTTTTTTTTTTTTGGGTGCAGGACATTAATGAAATCGACCTGGTGCTTTCAGAGGATTAATGGCTTACCTAAGCATGTGATTTGTATTTGTATACCCCTCTAAATAAACGGTTTCATAAAGCATGTTATTTGTCTTCCCTGCTCATTCTATGGTTTGGTTGGAACACAATTAGGCAATCATATACATAAATTTACATAATATATTTATATTTATATTTATATAGAGTCCTGAAGGTTTCTAGAGTACAGAAATATACTTTTTGGTGACGATAATACTTTCCTTCTTTCACATGGGGATCTTAGATTACAATGACGACAAACATGGGATTTTGCTTCATGGTAGATATACCAGACCCTATAGAGAGGGAGGGGGGGGTGAGGGAAGCAGAGGAAGTAGTTTTTGATTGTTTGTTGAAATGCAGGAAACCACATTCCAACTCACAGTAGTGAAATAGATATGCATAATATCTAAATCCAAATTCTTATGCTCCATGAATTTTACATGACATCAATTTAGAAGAATTTGTAATTTGGTTGTAAGTATCGTTTATGTGGAAATCCATTTATAAGAATCATACATGTGCGTGCGTGCGTAGGCGGGCGGGCGGGCGGGCGGATTGCATGCTTGTAAGAATGTGTGTGTGTGTGTGTGTTTTTTTTTTTTTCCTACCAGAGCAGTGCTCTTGCTACCTCTTTGGGGGATGCAAATATCTCATTTGCCTACGTTTTTTCTTAAATGTTAGGCAGTTGCTGATGTAAGATAACCAGTCTTATTAACCTGTATAATTTATTAAACATTATATATTTTCACACATACATGTAAAGTCATAGTGTATTGCATAGACTTAATTATGATCATTCATCAAATCTGACTAAAACAAATTTATTTGATATAATGACATCAATTGTCATAATTAAGAAGTAAAGGGAAAAGGAGGATGAAAAAACGGATTGAGATTTTGCGAATACTCTTAACTTTTAAATAAGTATGCACTGTCTATTTGCCTTTTCATAGAAAAAAGGGTACTAAAACTAAGATCTCAAAAGACGAATTTCATTTCAGGTTAAAAAAAAAAGGACGAATTTTATGTTTTGAATTCTAGATCATTTACGATGGAAGATTGAGGGTGATGTGTCTCTTTGTATCCCACGATAATCTTCACTCCCTTTCCTACTGGCCAATCCAAATTTGATGAGATTAATTTGACAATGTGCAAAATTTTGACCAAGCAAATGCTCCACTCCTTGGTTCATTTGTGAACAGTACAGTTACCTGTACTATGTATATTTCATGTTATATATTGATTGATTTTAACAAGTGAAACCTCTTCCTGAGCTCCCAGCCTTCTAAAACTTGCAACAAAATTTAATACAATAGCATCTTGTACTGTGGAGGATCAATTTACAAAAAAGACAAATTATGGATGAGGGAGGATATGGTTTGTACGTTTGAAGTAGTACAATAATAGGCAACTACTTCTTTGGGTAAATTTACAAAATCCCGAAGATTATGAATTTGGTTAAAGGGTTTTAAAATTAAGTAATGCAATGCTCTTATTCTATTTCATTCTGTTAAAAAGTGGATGAGAATTAATACGAGTAAGTAAAATAACCTTCCTATATATATGTAATAAAAAAAAATTAATCTCATGAAACATGTTGAAAATAAATTATAAATATAACCAAAGGAAAAATATGATAATATTCTCCCTAAAGTTTGAGCATAAAAGTGAATAAGCATTATTAATTTTTTTAAAAAATTTAAGAAGTTTCTACTTTAATAAGAACAAAAAAATGTTTCCTTTTTTTTAAAACTGAGTGATAGTATTTTCTTTTTACACTAAAAATTAATTATATTTTAGTCCTATGATCCTTATCTGTAAATAAAATCCTCTAACAATTCTTGGCTATGATTTTCCCTTTAATAAAGGCATAAACGTAGAGATAAGCATCGTACATAAAAAATGGTGAAATGCCCTATAAATATGATTAATCTTTTTTTCTGTACCTCATAAATAGGATTAGAGGAATATGTATGTGCCTTAAACTCCATGTAAAATAGTAAAATACAGAACTCACATTGTAGTAACGCAATAAAAAAGATACACATTGTCAATCATAGGATAAGGCATTATCATACGTCACCCAATATTAATAGAGAATATACATTGTCAAACCCTTAAAATTTCGGAATAAGGCAAAGATTAAACAATCATTTCATCTCACTACTAAGCCGCCATACGAATGATAAATTAACTGCGAGTATTGCACTGGAAACACAGCAACTTATATGGCATTGGTTTGCAACATATTCAAGCTGCTGTATTAGATTTGACCACCATAATCACTCACAACTGCACTCTTAATAGACTTACATCGGGCAAGATAATTGGACGAATAACATATTAATAAATAACATGAAACGAAGCTCGAGCACGCCTAGGATTCTCTACTACACTCGAATTTTATATTGCTTACCAAACTTATGAATAAAGATGTACATCTAGGAATCATTTCCACGCCCAACAAGGCTTTGTGTGTCTGGATTCTTGCCCCAAGCTCTCTCCTTCCATATCAGCTCCACTTCATCAAATGTCAATCCTTTGGTCTCTGGAACATACACAGCCACAAAGAGAAAGGCCAGTACAGCTATGCCAGCTAAAATCAAGAAAGTTTGACCGGTCCCTACGGCATCAGCAATTGATAGAAAGGTCTGGGACACAATCAAATTTGAAACCCAACACACGGTAGCTGACATTCCCCCGCATATTCCGCGATATTCCTCGGGATATATTTCTGAGTTCATAGTCCAAGGCACAGGTCCCATTCCAGGAGAAAAGAAAGCAATATACATGGCTAAACCCACAATTGCAAGCCATCCATACAAATTACTTGCAGAGCCAGAAGATTGGTTAATAAATGACACAGCAAGTATGATCAGAGAGGCGATTACTCCAGCTAAGCTAGAAAGGGCCAATTTTTTCCGCCCTGCATGATCAATGAGGTAGATGCCAAGAGTTGTACCAGCAGCATTCATACCAGCAACAATGAGGGATAGAAGAAGAGCCAATTGATTCGAACGGAAGCCAGCCATTTGGACAATTGTTGGGCTGTAGTACATGACTGTGTTTATACCTGTAAATTGCTGAAAAGCCTGCAGAACCATGGGATGTTATAAGAATACACTTGCATGAAAATGTTGTCATTTACAAAGTACAGTAGCTTATTGTAACATGCTTCCAGAATTGAAGAAGTACCTTAAACGGCTTAATCACAAATACATGAATTTAACAACAACGAGAAAAGTTTGGCAAAAATATATATATATATATATATATATCTCTCCAAAAGAGAGCATCAAAATGGGGCTTATGTTTACTAGGCCCACTTACTTATTAACCCTAGTTTCTTTATTTATTTTGTATCTTTCAATTTATCATTATTCTGTAATCCCAGTTTCCTTGCTTCTCTGTACCATCTACATATTATCATATAAATAATCATATTAAAAGAAGTATAGAAATCTTATGTAACTACCAACTAATACATTCTCAAATGACCAAAAACTAAAATTACATTCTTTAGTTTGATGGCCAATCTAACTAGCTGAATTAACCCAACTGACATTTAATTTCATGCTTGGTCTTGTTCTTTAAACTGTAAAGTGACAGCGGAACTTTCCAGAGAACAACCCATAATTTGATCAGTTCATCAGAATTATCCCCCTCAACCTTTTAACAGCAAGGGGCATTCACAACTGTCAGTCTGATATTCTTTTCTTTTTTGGTAATGTCACTCTGCTCTTCTAAGGCTATGTTTTGTAGCAATGTATGTCCTAATTAAGTACCTGAAGTCCAGCTCCAACAAGGAAAGCAAGCCTAATTTCTTTTGACCTAAACACATCCCAGTATTTGATATCATTCCTCTTTTGGCTTTCTTGTTCATACTGAGCTGTAAGGAAATCAACTTCATCCTCTAAGCGAGCATAGTCATAAATCTTAGTAAGCACAACAACGGCTTCATTTGTTCTATTCTGCATTCAAAGACAAGATATAGGATACTCAGTAATCACCATAATTTGAAGGCACATTTTTGACAAAAATTTTCTTAAAAAATATACAATTTTTTACCTTGATAAAAAGCCATCTGGGGGATTCAGGTAGGAAGAGCATGAGGAAGAACTGCACAACTGCTGGCACACCTGCAACTCCAAGCATCCATCGCCAAGTCCCAGGGACCTGCTTGATGAAGAATGTGGTAAGTGGTCAGAAAGCAAATAAGTTCGAAACAGGAATGTAATATTTATGAACCAAATAGTTCCCAAAATATGAAACTTCTCTCAGTCTGTCAATGTTATTTTAATATTTTTCTAGCTTTTATCAAATAGAAGAACAGTGAAGCCCTTAAGTTTTCAGAAATTTAAATGTGGAAGGTAATGGTATCACTGTTTTGAAGCTACAATTTGTAATAAGTTCATAAGTGCTACACAAATCATGGCAATGTATTTTTCTACAAGGAAAAACCACTTCTAATTAATTGAATATATTAGAAAACGCAGCCAAGCAATCAAACTTTCTGTTATGTATCATATTCTTTCCAGTCATTATTGCAGTTTGATTTTTAACAGAAAAATGAGAAATCTTATGTTAGTCGTTAGTTAAGAAAAATATTCCATAAAAAGTTTCTACCAAATAGACATTGACTCCAAGTGGAGGATACATAAGTTGATCCTGACATTAATATTGAATCTATAACTTTAAAAATCAATAAAAGAGAATAGAATTAAAAACATTTAAAACAAGATTACAACTGGAAAAAGAAAGAAAACACAAATAAGTAAAGAATGAAATTCAAAGTCTAGTCTAACCATTGAATTGCTTTCATCCTGAGATATCTACCCACCAGCTGATGTGGCTGACTACCATCTACTGTAAGTACTTTAAATATCAATGCTATGCATAATATGAAAACTATATATAAGCATAGCTCACGCAAGGATGTAAAGTTGAGTCTCTATATCTTTATGATCATTGCTACCAAACAAAAGCCAACCAAACAGCAAGAACCAAAAACTAACCTCCGTAAAAGCAAGGTTTACAAGGTAGGAAAGAAACTGTCCACCAGTTATCATAAGCACATTTGTGCTTACTAATCCTCCCCTTATTTCTGATGGCGAAGCTTCGGCAATGTACACAGGAGCAGTGACAGATGCTATACCC